TCTAAGTCATCATTCACTTGATAGTTGATACTGCTGCGTGCTCAAAAAGCCCAAACAAGCTCCTAATTCTTGTCTATCTCGTTTTGTACCCTTTAGGCCTCTATCTATCCTTCGCCATTCATTTTTCCATTTTACGAAGTTCGTTTCACACTTATTATCTCACTAACTATAGAAAACAAAGGCCACAAGCCCCCTTGAACTCTCCGTTGTCAGATTTTGATTGATTCAGTGAGGGGAATCTGCCCTAAGTAACTTAAGCCTTCTTTAAATGGCTGTACTGAATCAAACTTAAATTCTGAAATGAATTGCATCACAAGCTATTCAATGAGAGGAACACAACCAACACAAAAGAGTAACTCATTTAGGGTGAAACATAGCACATTATATGGGTATTTCTATCTACAACGCATGCAAAAATCCATAAACAAATGAAGTGCAAAAGCTACAAACCCCATAGAACGCTGCAGGGGAAGTGGAACCTGCAATTTCATTAACATGATTGACTAGATCATCTATACAGATATGTTCATCCTCCATGTACTGTTTGGGTCCTTTCTCAGCACAACTTCCAGAACGAAATATTGGTTCAAAGTTTGATTGTCCCTCTGAAGGGTGCTGGAAACCCTTCTCAGTTATTTCAAAATCCTAATAGATGTAAGAAAAATAATATTAGCTGCATGACCTTAATAATGTACAAACAACAAAGTTTGAAAAATCAAAAGGATGGAAAAGGAAGCAAATTCAAGGGGAGTTATTAATGTAGTTATTAGCAGATAAAGAGATTAACTGCTACAACTTTTATAGCTTCGATCTTGATAAAATACCCCCACCCAAAAAAAAAGAAAAAAAAAGAAACCGGAAGGCATGGGGAACTTAAATGTTGCGTACTCAGGCAGATCAACTACTAAATTGCTTTAATCATGCAATCTAGATCTTAGGAGTCATTTGGTTCTCATACTAGTTACGTAAAGATTATAATGCATGGGCTATTTTTGCGATGAATAAATTGTAGGAATTGTTATGCAATGAATAATGACACGTGGAATGTTATGCATCGATTACCTAATCTACGAGAATTTTTGTCTTTAGATATGCTTATCCACGTATGACTAATACATGTATTCTTATTCTACATTCTATCTGTCGTTTCCTCATCACTTATGCATATTAAGTTTACTACCACCAATCAAAAGCTGCATTACTTGTGCAGAGATTGTTTTTTCTGCTAAAAACTAAACTGTTTTCTAAATACTAGTATCAAGCACAACAAGGAATCTAATTAAACTGTCTTTGACTTCCATAAATCTAGCCACTAACTGAATTCCCACTAAAACTAAACTGTTTCATAAATAGTACTCCCTCCGTTTCAATATGTTTGTCTTACTTCCCTTTTTAGTCCATTTAAAAAAGAATGTCTCTTTCCTTTTTTGGCAACTCTTCAATTTCAACTTTCCACATAGCATGTTTAATACCACAAGATTAAAGGACATTTTGGTACATTATACACATCTTTTAGTTTAAGACTATACAATTCAAAAGTTCTTTAGTTTCTTAAATTCCGTGCGAGCTGCCAAGTCAAAACTAGACAAACAAAATGAAACGGAGGGAGTACTATCAAGCACAACAAGGGATATAAACACGCAACAAGATGCTGAGATAAGATCACTACCAAGCTTTAACACTTTCCACTTACCAAATCAGTGTCTGCTACAAGTGCAGTAGAGTTCACTGAATACCGGACAACAGAGGGATCTCGTAGTGGCTTATCATCTGACATCTTTAGTTCCTTTGATCCCTCTAGTAATTCATCTTTAACAGCAGATGTATTCTCCTTACTGTAACTCCCTTCTACTATAGCAAATGGTGGTGAAAAATCTGTATAGGCAGCCATATGCATTCCCAGAGCATAAATTCAATAGCCTCAGATTCTTATCCACAGAAAGCTAAACCCCAAGAAATGCAAAAAAGATAATCAATCACTCGTAAAAGGGCAAAAAGAGAGAGAAAACAATTTGCAGTACAATAATTGTCAAGGTTAAGCCTTTAGCAGTCCTACAAAAACAAAAAGCTTCAATCTTTGGTTCGATTACAAATTCAAGACCGTTCTAAATGGAAAATCTTAGTAGTGCAATTTGTTTTAACCGGTACCCACCTTGTAATCCCTTCCTCATTTCCCTTCCCTTACCCAAAAAGACCCTTTTTAACTCCACAACAATAATCCCACAAGTGGGGGTGTAAGGATAGTGTGTACACAGATCTTATCCTACAAGGTATATATGCTGTTTCCCATATACCCTGGACTACCTTTGTAAACTCCCCAAGCTCTAAAATTGCAACAATTCAAGAATCAAAATAAACAGAAATGAAACCCCTTTTTGTCATAGAATCACCACAACCAACAAAGATCAATAATTTCAGTAAATTTCACCAAACCCACAAAGCAAAATAACCATAGGAAGCAAACCAACTTAAGAAAAACAAACAAAAATAGTAACCCATGAGTCTAATTAGCACATAGATCTTTATGAACAAACTTCAGTTCATAATCAAAAGTTGAATCTAAATTACCAGAATGATCTGAAGTGGACACCCAAAAAGGAAATTTTGATGGAACTCACAGATGATTAGCCTTTTTTGGGAAGTAAAGGGGTGAAACTAAGAATGGAAATTGCTAAAAATGGAGACCCTAAATCCAACTGAGAAAATAAAGGCACAACATTTGCGGTTGGTAACCGGCACTTCCTGGACAATGATTATTAAAAAACGGCTTTTCTTTCATACCAAAGAACATGACATTTTACGTCATTCACTAGTGAATAGTAAATCCACGACAATATTAAAATTTTGAGATTCAAACTTTTAATTATAAATTCGAATATTAAAGCTTTGAAGTATATATTTGATTGATGGTTGAAATTTCAACTATATCCTATAAATTAAAATGAAAATAAAATTATAATTGTGGACGTAAATTAGTATGAAATGAATAGTCAATGTGAAAAAAAGAAAAAGAGAGAAAGATAATGAATGTCACATGTAAATGCATAGCAAGTTCTAGGGCTTAATCATGAATAATTGTCAAGTATATAGTTAAACTAATTGCATAAAATATACTACTTTTTTATTGTTAATACAAATAGTTTTGATTGAAATAATTAAATGAGATAATATATTTTTAATGATTTGAAATTAGTGAGAAATTTGGAAATGAAATTAGTCTAAAGGAGTATTGCTATATATTAATATTTATAAATTAATGATATTCTGGCCTTTATTCTGTTTTGTTGCAAAATATAAAAATAGAATGAAAAATTTCAAGTTATTTAAGTTTAAAAGAAAATGTATGGTTCTTGACATTAAATTATCGTAGACGTTTATTGATTCTATTTTTTTCTAAATATACTCTACATTTGTCAAGCTCGTAAATTTGTAATTAACTGTGTCTTTATCGAGTTGGTTGACATTATTCATCGTTGTCTAAACGAATACGCACTAATTCACCTCAAACAACGTGAAAAGTCTGCTTTCCAATTCTTTGTATGCGACTCTTAGCTATATCAATGTTCAAAATCCTCAATCTTTATCGTCTAGATTAATTCCAAATAAAAACGAACACCTTTTTAAGTGATTGTAATTGATATAGTTTACTATCAATAGTTCTTAACCAATTCTTTTTTTATTCATTTAATTAATATAATTTATTCATTATTAAATGCAAAGAAAAAAAGGAACACGAACAAAAAAACAATACGGAAAAAGAAGTCAAACAAAACAAGTAAATAACAATTGCAAATGCTGATGTAGATATATGAAGAAAAAAAAACCTAATTTTGACAATTGAATATAGTATGCATGTTTTGCAGTATATGTTTGATAATTATTCTAGAAATAAATTAATTAATTAAAGCTCTACTAGAAGCAACAACTTCTATTTTCTTTATTGATAGTGGAACGAGCTTTATAATAAGATGGTAATAAATTAAAGATATTTATTTTTTGTTCATTTTATCGTTAGCGATTGTTCGAAGAGTGATTCCTCTATTATTTTTCTTTTTTGTTTTTTTTAAGATAATGAGCCTATTAAGGCCTAAGGGGAGAACTCTCTTCCCATGGCAGATCAAGAATTATAATTTTATAGCTTTGAATCTTTTAGATTATTTATAACTTTTTACGTATTGAATTTTGAATAAATTATTTTTTATATAATAAGTTTTAATAAAAGTATAAACTTAAAATTTTGCTGAACTTCAATTATAGCTCTCAATAAGTGTAGCCTCCAAAAAGAAAAAAAATTAATTCCATCCACACATTATTTCCAAGAAAAACGTGATCACAACTCCTTTCCAAATGCTAGAGCTCCTTCCTAAATCCTAATAAATACAATTTGCAATTATTGAATGGAGTACTTTTTTTAGGCAAGTTGTAGAATGTTTGATGTAACTCAAATAGTTGTAGCCCCGACAAGATAAATTAATTTTGCGATAGGTTTTTGAAATTTTATCTTTAAATAATTATTTAATGATAAGTTTTTCCTTCAAATATTTTTAAATTCCCAAATACTTGATCAAATTCAAACACAACTTCAAATTCAAAAAATTATCATTTCAATAGCTCAAATTTTAAAATTTATGAAAATGAAAAATTAAAAAACTTCAAATTATTCCAGAGTCACTTTATTCGTTGCTTTGGCCAAATCACAAACTCTATTATTCTTTCTCTGATTGGTGTACAACCCAAATGAACGTGAAAAAAAAATCCCTTTTTGTTGAATTTAATTTAAGTTAGGAACAACTTTCTTTACTTTTATTTTTTTCACGTTCTCATGTTAGAATAAAATTCCATATGAGTTGTGGTGGACAGTTGAATTTGTCTAACCTCTTGGATTTGAATTTTAAGTATAGATTTTGTTGTTAAAAGGTGGCATGATGTGTAATGTCTGTATCGGAATTAATTGAACTCCAAATACGTGTGAAGAGTGAAATAATAAAAAATACTTCAAAGCTTTTTCACGTGCTTGTAGGAGTCTTCCTTCTTTGTTGTCTCACCCTAATCCATCACTGTTTTCAGCCTTCTCTATCAAATAAATTCTTTCTTGATTGGTTTCCCAAGTTTCAAACTTTCCATTTTTACAAAACCAATATCTTTACTTTCTTATTTGCTTTTGAATAAAAGAATTATTTGGTGGAATTTCTCTATATACTTGCCAAAGTGAAGCCTAATTGGTCATCAACTGTCACTGGATTTGTCAAAGTTCTAAACTTTACTAGTTTTACTCAACCAAGATTGCAACTTTTTAAGGTTTTTCAGCTAAAGAATTAAAAGGGTCACTCCTAACTGCAAAAGGAAAGAGTAATTTAGTAGCTTGATCATCATTGCTAGTAGCAAGAAGAAGATACAAGCCAGGAAAAAAGGGTTTTGGCTGTGAGGTAAAAAGGTCTGTTCAAAATCTTGACTTTAATAGTCTAGTCATTCTTGATTCTTCTGTCTTTTACTCTGTCTTCTACTTTTTTTTCTTCAAGAGTGTATTTCTTTGTCTCAAGGTTTTCTTAATCTGTCAGACCCAAATTTTTGCCTGTGCTTGTTACTATGAGTCTATAGCCTTGGCAAACCGTAAAGTTGCTGCCATGTGATCATGTGGTCCTGTGTGGCTTCCCTTTTTTTGTTACTATGATATCTATTTCTGTACTTGTGTTATGTCTACCTCCACGAGATAGGGGAAACGTCTATAGTACACTCTACCCTCCGCATACGTCACTCGTGGATTTCACTGGGTATGTTGTTGTGTTATGGCTAAAAGAATGTGGTTCCTTCTCTGCTTTATTCTGCTTCTTTCTCACGCTTAATTCATTCGGGAAAGTTGGGTGTTCACAATAATGCTTTCCTCTCTATTGAGTACTTATGTTGGGCTTTAATTTTAGCATAGAATCTGATTCCTTTTTTCAGTTTAAGCCAACCGTTTCTTTTCCCCTTTTTTGTGTGTTATGCACATGCATGAGCTCTTGCTTCATTTTGTGAGTGCTTTAGTCTTAGTATATAAAGTTGTTGTGGGGATTTTGTAGTTTGTACAATTCTCATGGCATTTACCCGATAAAATGTTAAAAGTATTGGAGTTAAAATATTTAGATGTCAATTTTCTAACCCTTTTTTTTTCACGCGCCTCAACTAGTTTCATGGGATACCTTCCACGTCCCACTACAACAAATACTAGATAATTCTATCCACCAAGGTTAGGACAGATGGGAAGAAATCATCTTGTGATTTAAGTTTTGATGTGATATGATCTTTCTCAATGAACCTGAAATATTTTAGATGTCAATTTTCTAAAGGTTTGATGTGATATGCTCTTTTCCTATGAGCCTAACTGTTTGAGAATTCTATCTTGTAGAAGGAAGTGGTAGGATGAATGCTAATTAAGCACACAAAGATCCTATTGTGTCATTCATCTAGGATGAATGTGGTTTGGATTATTGTCTCTTGTATAGTATGCTTTGGAGTGTGTTCAGACGGGTTGAGTGGGAATGGCACTTCAAGGCCTGCTGTTGTGAATGTTGGAGCTATTTTTACATTTGACTCTACAATTGGAAGAGCTGCCAAGATTGCAATTCAGGAGGCTGTGAAAGATGTTAATTCCAACTCTAGCGTCCTCCAAGGAACCAAACTTGTTGTGCAGTTGCAAAATTCCAATTGCAGTGGGTTTCTTGGCATGGTCGGAGGTACTTTATTCACTGTTCATTTCCTTTAATATTCGTTACACTGCCTTAGATGCTGGCAATTTTAGAATCAGGAAATAACAAGAGGAAAGATAGTTAGTTCCTCCTTTAAGGAAACCAGGGATGCTTGGAAGCAATTGCTAATGTCAACACTCATTGTAGTTCATCATTCTCAGTTGATATATATAGCTGATGTTTTGTGCTATTAGAATATCTGGCATTCATTCAAAATTTGATTCACATAGCCCAGTAAAGTTTCCCAATTCTCTCATTTAAGGGTATATTTGAATCTCTAGACTAACACTTTTTTTATTTGCAGCCTTGAAATTTATGGAGACTGATGTTGTTGCAGTAATAGGCCCACAATCTTCTGTAGTTGCCCATACCATATCCCATGTTGCCAATGAACTCCAAGTTCCTTTCTTATCATTTGCTGCTACTGATCCCACACTCTCCTGTCTTCAGTTTCCTTATTTTCTTAGGACAACTCAAAGTGATCTATACCAGATGACTGCAATAGCTGAGATCATTGAATTTTATGCTTGGAAGGAGGTGATAGCGATTTTTATTGATGACGACTATGGGAGAAATGGTGTCTCTGCATTAGATGAGGCACTTGCAACAAGGCGCTGTCGCATCTCATATAAAGCAGGGATTTCCCCTGGAGCTACTGTTACGCGGGGTGATGTTATGGATGTTATGGTAAAGGTTGCCCTGATGGAATCTAGAGTCATTGTTCTACATGCATATCGTACCTTAGGATTGATGGTACTTTCAGTGGCTCATTATCTTGGAATGATGGGTGATGGTTATGTATGGATATCCACAGATTGGCTCACCACTGTGTTAGATTCCTCTCCTCCTCTGCTACAAGATACTATGGATACCATGCAAGGAGTTCTAGTTTTGCGACAACACACTCCAGACTCTGAAAATAAAAGAGCATTTTCATCCAGATGGAACAAGTTGACAGGTGGTTTGTTAGGGCTAAATTCCTATGCTCTTCATGCATATGACACGGTTTGGCTAGCTGCACATGCCATAGATTCATTCTTTAATCAGGGAGGGACCATTTCGTTTTCTAATGATACTAAGTTGCAATCAGTTGAAGGAAGTAATCTACACCTTGAAGCAATGAGTATTTTTGATGGTGGGCCACTTCTGCTGAAGAACTTATTGGAGAGTGATTTTGTTGGTTTGACGGGGCCATTCAAGTTTAGTCCAGACAAATCTCTTATTCGTCCAGCATATGATATCATAAATGTAATTGGAACAGGTTTTCGACGTGTTGGTTACTGGTCTAACTATTCTGGTTTGTCTATTTTGCCTCCCGAGACCTTTTACTCAAGGCCACCTAATCGTTCAAGTACAAACCAAAAACTTTATAGTGTTGTGTGGCCTGGAAACAATGTTCAAAAACCTCGTGGATGGGTTTTTCCAAACAATGGTAAGCAACTGAAAATAGGGGTTCCCATCCGAGTTAGTTACCGGGAATTTGTGTCTCAAAGTCCAGGCACTAACAATTTTAAAGGTTTTTGCATTGATGTATTCACTGCTGCTGTAAACTTATTGCCATATGCTGTTCCACATAAATTTGTCCCCTATGGAAACGGGCATGAAAATCCCAGCTACACCGATATGGTGAGGCTAATCACAACCGGGGTAAGTTCATGCTGACAGCGAGGATGTATGTCCACAAATGCTAACATTAAACGATTTTAACTATATTTTAAATGAATTGTTTTTGTGTGCTCCCAGAAATTTGATGGTGTTGTTGGTGATGTTGCAATAGTTACGAATCGGACTAGAGTTGTCGATTTCACACAGCCATATGCCGCATCTGGACTTGTTGTTGTGGCCCCATTCCAAAAGTTAAATTCCGGTGGCTGGGCCTTCCTAAGACCCTTTTCTGCTCAAATGTGGGGAGTTATTACTATTTTCTTTCTCTTTGTTGGGATGGTAGTGTGGATTTTGGAGCACCGAACCAATGATGAATTTCGTGGGCCTCCCAAACAGCAGTTGATAACCATTCTATGGTGAGATCAAAGGTTCTTTCTCTTTCCTTTTTCTGGTTTAGTCAACCTTGTGGTGGTGGAGGGTGTAGCATTGACCCTCCCTGTATATTAATAACCAAAGTGTGAATACATGAAGGAGGAGGACATAATTCCTTACCTCCAGAAGTCCCATGCAGAAAGTGGAAATGCTACTTCCGAAAAATAAGTTTTTCATAATGTATTTATGTGCATACATGAAATGTTCTAAGTCAACAAAATGATGATTTCCCCATCTTACATCGTTTAGTTTTACAAAATAACAAAAATCATTACAAAGTGACAACATTCTCATATTAAGTTACCAAATGGTGAGACCAAAGTCTGTTGACAAAAGAAGCATCATAATCCCAATACTTGCATGTTATTTACTGTGCATTGTGGTACCTGCTAATTAAAAGGTTGTGAGCAGGCCCAACCCATGAGGTGGTGTGGGATGTGTATTTGCCTAAAAACACGCTAATGTTAGTGACATAGGTCCATACATGTGTGAATACATGCCGTACACTATTCTTTACGCAACTTGACACAGATTCCTGCTACGGTGCTAGTTCTTTTTTACTTCTCCTCTTAACTAAACAAGAAAACATAGATTGTGGGATCATAAACATTAGTTCTTGATGATACGATTGTTATTATGTCAAAATTTGCATGTGTCATTGTATCTTTCTATTTGTACTTAAATATTATATGAGTTCAGAAAACAGCCATGATAGCTATGGTGCTCTGTTCTCCTTATCAGTTATGAATGCAGTTGTTGCTCATAGAATAGTTCTTTGTCTGAAAGTTCCTAGATTTCTGGAATTCATAGTTTATCAATAAGGGTGTATCTCCAGTAAATTGTTTTTTTAGAAAATGGGAACATATAAAGCCGAGGTTCTTTAAGCATTCTTATGGTTTACGGCTTTAATTTTCTGTGAGCACTGAGTGTGGTCCAATTCATTGTTCAATTGAACTTGATTTGAATAGATTTGTAACCATCACTCGAAGAAGTTCACACTGTTATAGTTGGATTGCTGCTTCCAATGAGAGCAACTTCGCTATCATAGAAGACGATTTGTCTGACGATTGTTTGTTCTTCTTGCAGGTTCAGCCTTTCAACTCTCTTTTTTGCCCACAGTAAGTGAACTATAGTTCAGTATAATTGTTTCGCGGTGCATTCTATGTTTACTCTCTTACCTTTTGTGATATTTCCTCTGTAGGAGAGAATACTGTAAGTACGCTTGGTCGCATGGTGCTGATCATATGGCTCTTTGTCGTTTTGATAATAAATTCAAGTTACACAGCAAGTTTGACCTCCATCCTCACTGTGCAACAATTATATTCTCCTATTAAAGGTATCGAAAGCTTGAAAGAAACTGATGAACCAATCGGGTACCAAGTTGGTTCTTTTGCAGAAAGGTATTTGGAGGAAATTGGTATACCAAAATCCAGACTTGTTCCCCTTGGATCACCGGAAGAATATGCTACAGCACTTCAACGTGGTCCTGCAAAGGGGGGTGTATCTGCAGTGGTGGATGAAAGACCATATGTTGAACTTTTCCTGTCAAACCAGTGCAAATTCAGGATTGTAGGTCAAGAGTTCACCAAAAGTGGGTGGGGTTTTGTAAGTTTCTCTATTCCTACAGTTTTTTCTTTTTTCCTCATTCCGTGTGCCTCCTGCCTTTTCTTTTTCCTTAATCCTAATTCTGTAAGTACACCTTGGTTTATATTGTATGAAAGAGGATCTGTAGCTTCCTAGAGTTTTCTATACCAGAAGAAAATTGGGAAGAATATCTTATATATATTAAGAGTTGCACTTCATTTGTGTGGGAAAACAAACACATGTAAAAAAAAAGTTGTTGAATCTCATAGAAGGTCCTGTAGGATTCATAATACACTCGAGCATGCCTAGTTTATTCTGTGTGTGATATTTGTAAATCAATATTATCTAGTCTTTGGGGTGAACGTGATATTGGTGTCCATTTCAACTTTCAGGTTCAGTCACCCCTTTAAAAGGTTCTATTCTGTTGACTAAAAACTTAATGTCCTGGACATCTTGGTAGGCTTTTGTAGCATATCACTAAGCACACTTCTATTTAAAACCGTTTTCTGAGTATTTGTGTAAAAATCGTTGACGTCGGGGTTCTGCATTTCAATTAAGCTTATAGATTCTTTATTTATCTATTGGAGACACGGAATCCAGAAATCATGTTTTGCTCTGTCATGTTGTGCTTGTTATTCTGATTCAGGCATTTCCTCGGGACTCTCCCTTGGCTGTCGATTTGTCAACTGCAATTTTAACGCTATCAGAGAATGGAGACCTCCAGAGGATACATGACAAGTGGTTAGCAAGAAGTGCGTGCAGTTTAGACAATGCTGAGCTTGAATCAGATCGCCTTCACTTGAGAAGCTTTTCAGGCCTCTTTCTTATATGTGGGATTGCATGCTTTATTGCTCTCCTAATATATTTCATCCAGATTCTGCGTAAATTTTGCCAGACTTCCAATGCTGCAGTTGATATGGATGGTCAGAGTACTACTTCACGTTCCAAACGTCTTCAAACTTTGTTGTCAATTATTGATGAGAAATCAGATAAATCAAATAGAGGCAGCAAGCGAAGGAAAATCGACAGATCAGTTTCTGCTGACAACATAGAAAATGACTTGGGAAGGGATTCCAGGTGGAGAGAATCACAGGTTCCTTCTCAAAATGAAATTCATTAGTTCAATTATGCCAGCTTACATTTCTTACAGGGTTCTTACCAAGTTTCAATTTTGACAACATAGAATTGTTTGACACATCATATATAAGATTCAGCTGTCAACTGTATATTAGAACAATCTTTACATAATCAATATCATTTCTGGTTTCTGGGAAGAGTGATGGAACTAAAGTATGCTTCAACTCTGATACTTTTTCTATGGATTCATGTGGATGGTGATGATTTTGTCGTCATGTTTTAATTGTAGTTTCTGCATTTTAAGTTTGATGGGTTAAGGTAAAGTTCATTGCTGAATTGCAGCCTTTAGGTAGATTTAGCCATTGATCAAAGGCTGTCTATTGCACCTCATTTTTTTTTTGGGAAGTATGGAAGCCTCTTTAGGAGCTTGCAGTGAACTGTGAATTGAAGCAAGATGAGTGCTATTAGCAGTTGTAGCTGATGCTTATTTTGGCTGAAGCCTCGTCTCTGTTGAAGATACAATCAAGTAAATAAAAGTGTGCACTTTCTAATATTCAAGCGTATGTAAGATAACCAAGCCAATGATGCTTAACTAGTCTTTTCGGATGATCAGTCACACTGGGATTGAGACATGACCTGGACACACAATTCAGCACGACATAAGATCAGGAGTAGATGTATCATGCTGACATGAGTTCATCTGAATCTGCTCTTTCAACACATAGCATATATTTATATGTAAGAATTTCATAAAAAGTGGCAACAAATAGTAAATATAAATCCATAACTTTTATGATATAATGAGTTTAATGTTAATAGCCTTAAATGATTAAAAAAAAAAAAAAGCCTTAAATGTTGAACTTGTAAAAGTTAAATTTTAGACTCGCTTCTACATAGGAGCATGCAGTTATCATGGCTTCAAATCTCATTGTTAGCCCTCATCAAAAAAAGAAACCACATGCTTGACATTAGTTTGGCATTAAGTAAAGATCATGCTCGCATGCGAAGAAGCGTGTTAAAGATATAATTAAGTAAATAAAAGTCTTCTCTCTAGTAGTTTTAACTTTTAGCTAAAATGATTACACAATTTAACGTCATAATCTTGTTTTAGTCCTCCTTATTTATCATTAACTCACTTGCCAGAGGAGGGAATAAGTAGAAAAAAGATGCATTTGGCCCTTTTATCATTATAGCTTCCACTGAACTCACTTGTGGTAGGACAAAGAGCAAAAAAAATGGTGCACTTACAACACACAATTGTTTATGAGCCTATTCTTGCGACATTTTGTGATGGAGATTTAGGCATTGCACAAAAAGGTGCCATAACCATAATGAATACTAATTATCTTGGTGCATTTTCAGGGACCCTCCATTTTGATTTGGTTTAGTAGGGTATTTATAGGATAGGTGAACAATAATTTGGGTTGGTCACTTTGATATTGCTGTTGGGAAATTTAACTCTGGAAAACAAAGGCCTTCAATTAAGGGACATCATTGCTACTTTGTACAACATTAAGTCACACAAATTTGTAGCATGTAAACATCCAACTGATTGACAACATATACATTTCAGAAAAGGTTTTTTCCTGGCACATTCAACTATAAGCATCACACTGCAGAAAGTCTCCACTACTAGAAATGAGCTCTCTGAATAGTGGCAATGAGCTATAGAAGAAAAAGGGAAATAGAAAGAACAAGATCAGCATTCAGCTGTAGTTAAAGAGATCAGCATTTACATCTGTTTTATCAATCATTCATGGTTATAGATTTATAATTATAAATTACAATATGTACATAGGTTTAATATGTAGATAGTATTGAGCTAATTTTGATTGCCTTTGAAGTATTTTTGAAAGATATCTTCCTCTAAACAATACGTATGAAGTACTTTGTAGACCTCAATTACAAGTCTAGGAAACCTGGTGGAGAAATAGCTCTCAAAACCTTCAGGAACCTGTCCAAGAATTCCCTGTATTTCCTTTGAAAGCTCTCTGTAATGGTTTAACTTATTTCTGATAACACGCAACAAATCGCGGACACTATCATATTTGTAACGCCTGTAGCGACCAATGTCATTGATAAATGCACTATCCATTTTATCATTCCACAGACCTCCCAATGCCACGGTCTTAACACTTTCCAGTGCTCCCAAAAGTTCAGATCCATCCTCTCTATCCTCTAATTCCACTCTATCACTGGCATCTCGGAGGAATGAGAGTCGCATCTCGGAATTCCAAAAGAAAGGATGATGCAATATCTCCACTGCTTTTGGCCTATGGGATAATGGAAAGGCATACACCGACATCAGTGGAAGTACAAAAATAACATCAATGAAACAGAACTTACAAATTCATAACATCAGGGAACCACTACTATGCACCAAAAATTTGGAAACCATGATGCCATTACCTTAGCTCTGGATTTGGATGCAGGAGTGCACTGATGAGATCTGCTGCCTCTGGAATATTCTCTATAAGGAACAAATCTTTTTGATTGTTTACTATATTTATATCACGTTCAAAACTATCCCCATATGGATGTTTTCCCCCCGTTAAGCAGAAAAAGAGTACACAACCTAAACTGAATAAATCCACAGCACGTGTCTGCCGTTCATGACGAAGTTGCTCAGGTGCTTGCCAACCTGAACTCCCAGAGCCTACAGATATTGTAGGACAGAAATAACACGGGCTGAGTGACATTCATGCATGTACAATAGTTGCAAATAGATATGCAGAAGAAAGTTTCAAGATATCCCTATTTGCAAATGAAATGCCTCCACCACATGGCTTCACTAATCACTATAGAAATATATAGATTTATCAACTCCAAACTGAAATGAATACAAGTTTTTCAAAAAAATTGGGACAAAAAGAAAGTGAATGGGACTTGTATTAAATACATTGAAAAATAAAAAAGCACAAAAGCAGACCTTCCTCACCCTTTACTCAGGGTAAATAAGGTAGCATTGGGGCTGGGTAATGCACTAGAAAATGCCAATTGTTACCAGAGAAAAAAATGCAAGTTCTGAACTAAGGCTTACCAGTGGAATTTTTGGTTAATGAAGACATGTCCCCTGCAAGATGCTTGCTGATACCCATATCTGAAAGCTTTGCACTTACAGATCTCTCTTTTACTATAAGAATATTCTGAGGCTTCAAGTCACGGTGTACAATTCCCAGTTCATGCAAATGAGCAAGGCCATGAACCATATCTCTGCCATTAGCAATCATGAAAGGGCTTAATTGTTAATTCTGAATGCCTCTCAAATACGTCTGAAAGAGCTGTAACTAAATCATGGTGAAAAGAAAAGGCAGGTAAAAGACATAAAGAATCTAATATGCAAGCACCGAGAGGGCCACATCCTGAAATGTGAACGAAAAATTAGTATGTATTCGTTCAAAAGGGCAAACAAATTAATAAGATGTGATTCAACAAATGATTCAGAGGCTAATTGCCTTTATATTTTGTGAGATCAAAATGATATAGTACTCTCAGATAAAGATGAGAGAAACTTCAAAGGCTTCATGGGAATACTGAAATTCCCATAACAGCCTATTAGATGCTTTAGCAATATAGATGTGAGAATTCTCAGCTTAAATGTTCCAAAGGCTGTGATTCATATGCCTGAGAGTCGTCATTGAATTGTCTGCAAGTTACGATGTTACATGTAGTAACAAATCTTCCATATTCAATTCTCAAGGTGTGACAAGGATCATTATGATAAAACTGCTCTGACATCATCCACTATAAATAATTGCTTTTTTAGAACACATTTATAGTGTAATTTGATTAATAAAAGCATGAGTTACCACTAGGAGTTTACTAAGCAAAATGATAAAGATTAAACAATTGTCAACATAATTTATTTTTTTTTTTTTTTGGGGGGGGGGGTAAAGATTTATCATCATATTATTCTTGAAATAATTCTGTACATATATACAAGAACTATTTCAATGTAAACTTTAATGGTCTATTCCAGTTCAAATTGGGACCCTTACATGATTTTTTTATTTCTGAAGTAAAAGCTATAGAATAACCAGCTTCAATATATGATACCTATTTCTGTATCCAACACCAATAATATGAAAAAATTCAAGCCACCATGAACATTTCCTATGTCATATTGTTCGATCAATTCTTCAAGAAAAATTTGACGTGAACAGTGTAAAATATGAATAACAGTTGGATAAACATTCAAGAAGTCCAGTTAGACATGCCCCAGAGTCAGATAATCCAAGAGAAGCTGTTTCCCAGGCACAGTTATGTCAAATGAAAATTTTACAGATTACCCAGTTTAACGAGAGTGACTATCAGTTCAGAGTCATGTTGCTGAGAAAGCCATAGATCATGCACTTGGTATTGACTGATCCATGAGAAAAAGCACTTGATATTGAAGTGAGTCTCCACACACATGAAAGAATTTAGATTAATAAAAGTAAATCAGAAACCGATAACAACAATAAACCAACCTCATCAATTTTAACAGGTGAGCTGAAGGATATCCACTGGGCTTCCATAACGGGAAGTCATCCTTGTCTCCAGATTTCCACTGAACTTTTACAGTGCAGTCACTTAAACAACCGGCATCCTGGTTATTTCCAGAAAATTGTTTTTGGTAGGAACTGGTGACTGATGATATAAACTCATATAAGCTACAAGTGCAACGCTCAAGAGCCAGGTAAACAAAATCTTGATCGTACTCCACCCCATACCAACGAACAATGTTTGGGTGTTGGTCAGACGCAATAAGATTTTGAATTTCTTTCAAAGCCACTTCGTGATGAGTCTGGATGAGGCGTTTAACTGCTACAGGACGACCATCATAGATTCCCTCGAGTACGATAGTGCCATTGCTCCCCTTAGCTATTTCAGTGTTAGAAACCAATAACTTACCAATCTTCCGATGATATATAAGACTATCATACTTGCATAGATTCAGCTCCAAAACCTTCTCACTCTTTCCAATGTCAGCAACGACACCAGTTGCTTCTGTGTCATCATTATGACTATTTTTCTGATTCTTCTCATTACGTGTACTGCTCTTACTGAAACCTGACTTTCGAGATTTCTTCTTTTTTGAGGTTACAGCTTGCAGTTTGGGATCTGTAGCCTGCTTGTGCAACTTCCACCTTTTCCACAGCACATAATAAATAAAAGGGAAAGCAGCAATGAGCAGCATAAATGGAATTAGTACAAC